TCTTTCCCCCGCTCCCCTCTCTAAAAATTAATAAATAAAATAAAAAAAATTGAGGGGATGAAAGGACGCATACATATTTTACTTCTACCCTACCTATGGTACATTATTCTCAAAATTAAGCTTAGTAGAACCATAATTCAGGGTGCAAAGAGTCCAAGCAAACAGTCATTAATGAAAACATTAAGATACTGGAACTCTTTGCCACGCTTGGGGACAGAGTATGCAGGATAGTGAGCAGTTGCATGCTGGTTGGAGGGTACTGTGTTGATGGGGACCCCTTCACAGGACATCCTCTTTCCTGTCGGTTAGGAACTGTGTGAGATGGTTAGAGAATCTCCATCCACAATCAAACCCTCTTTCGTATTCTAAGTGCGTGCCTCCCAGCCCCTGTGGAGCTTCTGATGAAGCTTCCAGCAACTACGTCAGTTCGAACTCCAGCCAGGTATCTTCTCACAAACCCCATTGTTTCCCCTGTAATTCTCATCCATAAAAGGCGCCGCTGTCTTTGTCTTATTATAGAAAAAAACCTGGGGATCTTTGCCTCATCCTTTCTTTTTTCATCCCTTATTTCTTCCTCACCTCACTTTACAACATACACACACATACAGTCACCAAGTTCATTTTCTTTCCAAAACAGCCCTGACCTTGAGGTCAGCTTTTAGGTTTCTAACAGCCCTGTAGGACGTCCATATGACACACAGAGTTCTACCTCTCCACCCGTAGGTAGCTTCCTAACAAACTCTTCCAAAGTTTGTGCCAACTTGATCTTCAACCTGTTTGTTAACTACTCTCCGCCTCAGGGAAAGTGAGCTGTTTGCTTTTTCACATTGTACCAAAATCTCGTATTTCTCAAATCCTTTTCGTACCCTTCCCTCTGCTCAACAGTTACCTTTTCTTCTGCCTGTTGGAATCTTGCACACATCTATATATGTAATCTCTTCCAATGGGTTTCTAAAGCCCACATCACACACCACAAGTTCCTTAGCATTTTTCACGGATTTAGCCAGTCATTTTCCAAATTATATACATTCAGCAGCAGTATTTTACTTTCAGAGATGTTTCACCCAGAGCCATATACATATACATATACCATATACAACACACACATATGCATGAGTATAACGTATGTAAATAATTTTATCGGAATGAACTGACTTGACTTTGTACTGATAGCCTTGACTTTCAGAGTCAGTCAGCGAGAAGACTGATGACTCCACTGGAAACCCACTAGGACAGGCAGACACAGTCTGATGTTAGTTTTGTATTTATTTGTGCTTTTTGTCTTTACTGAACAACATTAAGAAATTATTAATTCTATATGTAGCTAAGTTACAGATTTTTATGATTCATATTGCAATTATAGACTAATATGCCAATAAACAAGGATGGCAGAAAAGATTATTCTACTATCTTCATAGAAACAAATGAGGAACAGCAGTTAAAGTTTTGAGGCGCTCCAATAACTTACTGAGTAACGTGTTTGAGATCATCCTTTAAAAACTCACTTTAGAACAGATTTAGGTTTATAGAGAAGTTACGAGATAGGACAGCTGACACAGACCCACATTCATTTCCCTGCTACTATGACATACTGATGATACATTATTGTTATTAAAGTCCACACATTGTTTAGATTTCCTTGGATTTTTACCGACTGTGTTTTCTGAAATTTGAAAGAATTAAATGACATGTTAAGACTGAAATTTGAGTAAATTAGTGAAAATACAAAAAAAAAGACCTGCGTGGACTTTTTTTGTTGCTGTTTCACAGCAAAACTGTCCCCTCTATGTCAGTTTCAGCGGTCTACTGTCTCCTGCCGTAAGCCACCTCTTTTCAAATGTTGTTTCGCAGCAAGGAGTCACTTTGTGATGGTTCCCTAAATCCACTGTGCTGGTCAGTTCCCCATGCCCGCGGTGGCCCTCTGCTTGGGCATTCTCCTTTTCTCCTTGTCCAGATGGCGAATTGTGATGAATCCCCTAAAATCTAGAGCTAAGAACCATCTCTTCTGTAGTTCCCTTTCTAAGGATGCAAATAATCAGTCTCTAGAGGTTTTGACAGCCATTTTGTCAAACTGAAAATACTCAAATTCTATTTTGTTTATCACTTCATGTCCCACTTGACTAAATTTAATACAGCATCCATTTACTTTTTATAGATACGACATACAGAATTTGAGAATTACTGAACCAAAGGGAAATTCTTTAAGATTTGATAGAGCCAGGTCTTTCTAGAAGTGTGCCTACGGGTGTGTAAGGACATATAAGATCTTTCCTTGTTTTTACCCCCCTTTGGCCTAGAGTCAAGTCAGTAGAAATAAGCTCAGTGTAACCATTGCCACCAAGAGACTATTTTAGCTGATTGTTTTAAGGTTGACAATTCAATGTTACAATAAGCTTTGCAGCTGAAATCACTGGAGTTTTGAGGACTCGCTAAAAGCATACGAGTGCATAATTTTGGGTGAGTTCAATGTAATTTGATTAGCACTTCGATCCCCAGTGCTGATAGTAGCGTGCAGGTGGGTCAGCGCTGATGTCGTGATATTTGTGCTGCTCCCCTCTCGGCTCGAAGTGCTGCTCTTTCACGGCTCTTTAGTATTGTCACCCGTGAAAAAGAACAGATGTATGTATTTTTTTCTGTTTGGTTTTGACCACTTACAGAGTAGAACGTGTACAGACTGCCAGGAGAGAGTTTTCTGTGGGGCTAAGCACCACTGCCCACCTTTCTTCTCTCTGGATGGGCTGTGGGAGTGTAGTGGAATGATTATGCACCCATTTATTATTAAGTTAAGGGAATAAATCCAGCTTTTTTGTGTTTATTACAACTGACATTTAACCCTGTCCACGATGTTTTTCCAGTGAGGAGTGGACTGGGGCACAGGAAGCAGTAATTAATATTAATCGTTGCTATTTGGCGGAAGAGCAGTAAATATTTACATTTGTGCAGGGTCAAGCTGTCATTGGTCATTGATATCTTGTTGGCCATCTCATTAATCCTGACAGAAATCTGTTTCCATTGGAGCTACAGATCTGGTCGTCTGTCTTGGGGGCTGAAGGTCAGAGTGATTAGGAAGCTTGATGGGATTACACATGATTATGTTGCAGGAGGGAACCGGAACTCAAAGCTCAGAGGGACCCTGGACTATTCCTCACGACAAAGTTGGTTGTGTTAGTTGAGCACTTAATATTTCTTGATGTTTACCAGGTGACAGGCTGGGTTAGGTGATTCACGGCTGAAAAGATGTCTCCTTATACTAAACAGTCAAGCTACAGGTAACTGAATTCCACTGCACGTTTTCCCCTTGCTAGAGGGGGGGATGTGCTGAAATATTGGAAATGATTGGGAAAAATTTTAGTAAAGTGAATCTGGCGGGCATGACTTACGGAAGCAAGTTTTATGCAGGTTGCTGTGATTAGCTTCACCTGAGAAATTTAGTGGTGGCGGAACTGGTGAGGGTAGGGCCAGGTTTGACATATATTTGGCAAGAATTTTGACTCTAGTTCAGAAATGATTGGATACAGGGAATGAAGGAAAGTGAGTAATTTTGAGGAAAACTGTTTACCTTCCTCTTCTCCATAGGGAGTAATAGAGTATTAAGTAATCGAGTATTAAGTAACAGGGAAATAAGGAGGAAAGACTAACAAGCTATATTTTCTCAGCGTGAATGTCCCTTCTTACTACGAGCCTTCATCTTCATTGATTATATCCTTGCCTAAATTTAAGTCTTGGTTTCTCTGTACATTTTTCTTTCTGAGTCAATATTTACTATTCGGAGGCTTAATCTGTTTTCACTGGAAGAGGGAAATTTTTCTGGAACAGCCTGCAGAAATAGGATGTTTAGGCCACTAAATTCAAGGGAACTTGAACCTGTCACCAAGGCCTCATACAAGGATAGACAACTGAGGAGGAGAAGAAACAGAAAATGCAGACAAGGCAAGGCGGGGTTTCACCAGATGGAATGCAGTTGTTGAGGCTGAATTACGACCCTCCCAGGTGCCCCCCAAATAAGAACCCCTTCTTCCAGTTGACACCCTAGGGTGCGAACCCCACCCCCAACGCTGTGAATAGTCTTAGAGCAGCCTGATTAGCTTCACCTGGGGAATGGCTGGGTAGGGTTTTGGTTTCCAAGGGTGAGAGGTAAGAGCAGGAAAAGTTGGAGATACCAGTGAAGGCTGTGGGGGCCCCAGGAAGTGTGTGGGCCCTTGGCAATGACAAAGCGTGGTGGCTTCTCAGGCAGACTCTGCCTGGGTCAGTGCAGCAAACCAGGGACCCTGTGGCTGCCCCGCCCCATTGCTGCTTAGCAGTCCAGTGTAGCTCGGGTGGTTCCGCTCCCTGGAAGGCCTCTGGGACGGAGTGAAGACAGAGGCAGCTCGCTCACCTGCTACGGCCTGTGAACCGGCCCTACAGCCCGTGCTCTGGCTGGCCCCTGGGCTGTGTCACAGTGCGAGACGGGCAGGCGGGGCTCGGCATTGGTCCCAACCTGCCATCCCTCTGCCAAGCTCCACCCTAACTTACCCCCCCCCCCCGACTCTTCACTTGTGCAAAGTTCTGCTTTAAAAACAGATGACAGATGTGACGAGTAAAGCACTTATAAAGTTAAAGGAAACTATTTTCATGAGGGTTTCCTGAATGCCCATGAAAAGAATTAGTTTACATTTTAGCCCTTTAACAATAAAAATAACACAGATATATCTGGAATTTCACAAAACCAAGGGTCTCATTCAAAAGCCAAAAATATTAAAAATTTGAAACTATTAACCACAGCACAAAGAAATACTATTTCAGCCACAATAAGTAATTCATAATTAAATAAGACTAATTTAAAAAGTATTTTCCATTAGTGGACTTTTATATTATTTAGTTATTTCTGTTGATCTGAAAGTCAGATTTCTGTGAATTATCAATCAGACTCAGTCTTTATTACAGCCTCTGTTGTATAGCTACAGGCACACTTTTTATAATTTTCCATTAAGGAATAAGTATTTGGGAAAAATACCACTAACCTTTATGGGAGAGCAGGTTTTCGAACGATTCACCCCATCTCACCGCTTCCTCGGGGCAGACTCTGTGCGAGACACAACAGGTTTTACGGCGGAGCGTGCAGAAAGCCTTTCTAAGCCTCGGCCCTGGCGTGAGCCACAAGTGCTCTCTTCTCTGCCCGTTTCACCGGGTGCCCCTTGTGACTATTACATAATGAAAGTTGCGTTCACGTTGGAAACGTCAAAAACATCAATCAACTTTCTTTTCAGTTCTGCCTGTGATTAGTTTCTAAGGGAAAATTCATCGTATGTTAGGTTAAAATCCAAGAAAAAATGAGGTCAATTACCTTTCTTCATTCAGCAAATGGAAGAACCTAAACTGACAGTGTCTTTCAGTCGATTTTTTTTTTAACTGCAATTTCCTTGAAATTCTTACCACAATGTGCAGCAATTTTTTTAAATAGATACAGGAAGTTTGGTGAGGTTTTAAAGGGATAAGAAATGTAAAACATTTTAAATACAACAGATGTTTTGATATGCTGATGGTTTAGGGAATCGAATATATTTGTCTCGGATCTTTTATTGGTCCTATTCCCTATTTAGACGATTTTATATTATACAAGCATATAAGGGCGATTCCATTTTCTGTTTGAATTAAAGAAATGGCTAAAAATGACCCAATAGCCTCTTTTGTGTTTTACTTGCTATTATATCTAGAACATTCTTTCAAATTGCTGAGGGAGGATAAGACTAGCTCTTCTCAATTACAATATTATATTGTGAAAACTCTTAATGAGTATTTCATCAGTTTATAAGGAAAAAATATTCAAAATTGACAAGTCTATCATTTTAAAAGAGCAACTTTACATTTATTGAGATTATATAATTCGATATATTAAAGTACTGAAATTTCATAGAATATATATATTTTTGCAATGAGACCTCTGACCTTCCTATATTACTTTGTAACTTCCAATACAGTGGAAATCCCTGGTTGTCTCTTTCTGAAATCTTTCACAATAGCATCCGCAAAATCCCTCCATCTACCCCTTGCCAAGTAGCGAAAAGCTGCTCACCTGGTGTCTCTGGCCAAGGGCCCAGGTCTGCCGGGCAGTGGCTCTTCATGGAACTCTGCTTTCTGCAGGAGGAGACTCAGCCGGTTTCTCTTTTCCTTGGCTCTGTGGTGAACAGGGATTAGCCTCAGGACACCTGGGACCACAGTCTCTGTCCCTGGCACTGTCAGGTTGGGACCGGATGACTTCCCAGACAGCCATCCTCACCCACCACCCACACTCACAATGGCTTTCTTCAAGAATTTCACTTAAATGCTGTGTTTGTAGAGGAATTAGCGTAGCATATGTGAAATATTTGTCTTTTCCCCCTCAGTGACCGCAAATTATTTAAAATTCTATTTCCGTAAAGATTGTGACTAGTTTCTGTAGTTAAAATTGTTGCACTTTTTTTAAATGAAAACATTAGACTTAACAGTTGTTTACTTCCAATAAAAACTTATTTTTCATGGCAACAGTGCAATCAATATATTTTAAATTGGCCATTTTAAAAACAAGGGCTAACAAATATTCATCAGTAATGTTTTTTAAAAGCATAAGGCAGGTTTTAAAAATTATGATTTTACCTGATTTTGGCGTCTTTGCTTGCTTCTTCTTTTGCTGAACCATGTATTAACTTGAAAAAAGTTTTTTCCTTTGACTCACACATGTTTAATTGAGAAAAGAAAATCAATGATGTTCCCATGGTCTCTCTAAAAAGCAGAGGTGTGTAATTTATTACGCCCTTCACTTGTTAGTGTTATAAATCCATTGTTGTCCATGGTGGAAGGAAATGTTATCTCCACTCTGTCAGCAGCGCTTAAAATTTAAAGGAAGAAAAGAGTTCCAAGATCCGTGTCTCTGCCCCGGTGGAGACCGAAAAATGTGGAAGTGAAGAACCGAAGTGCAACCGGGCCCGCGTTGTTTAGGGAAATGACACCACAGACTCGCAGGGCGACGCTTGGCCCCCGAGATAAGAGCAGCGTTGACACAGCACTTCTCCTTCCCGCTTGTGCAACCCGACGATGACGCCCGAGCAGACCCCGCGACCCTGCGGCTCCCCACGCGGGCTGCTGGGAAGCTCCTTGACGTGCTCGGTGCGTGTTCCGGCCCGCCGCGGCGGAGCTCTGCGCCGCACCTCGAGATGGCCATTTGCATGTTAGCTCAGTGGATGTCGTTGTTAAAAAAGAAACTGCAGCGCCCTGGCTGACGTAGCTCAGTGGATTGAGCGCCGGCTGCGAACCAAAGTGTTGCAGGTTCGACTCCCAGCCAGGGTACATGTCTGGGTTGCAGGCCATAACCCCCAGCAACCGCACATGGATGTTTCTCTCTCTCTCTGTCTCTCTATCTCCTTCCCTTCCCTCTCTAAAAATAACTAAATAAAATCTTTAAAAATAAATAAATAAAGAAATAAAGAAAAGAAACTAAAGAAAAGAAACTGCAGCCCTGGCTAGTGTAGCTCAGTGGGTCGAGTGCTGGCTTGCGAGCCAAAGCATCGCTGGTTTGATTCCCAGTCAGGGCACATGCCTGGGGTGTAGGCCATATCTCCAGTATGGGGTATGTTAGGGGCAACCATACATTGATGTTTCACTCCCTCTCTTTCTCCCTCCCTTCCCCATCTGTCTAAAAATAAATAAATAAAATCTTTAAAAAAATAAAGTAAAATAAACTGCAGCCCCAAATCAGCTCAGCCTCCATTCCGGGAACTGCTTTGTGAGACCCAGATAGCTGGGGAATACTGATCTGGTCCGTAACTCAGTCTCTTTAGGAGAGGAAACAAAGGGTGGTAGACAGTGAGGGACTTCTCACAAGGTCCCAGAGGTCAGTGAGCGACATGAAATTCTCAGGGTCTCTGATCACCAGTAGTGAAGGCTTTAATCACTCTATTATCGTAGGAGAGGTTTTAGGAGTAAGAGCTAGAATTCAGACTCTAAAAAGAATTTGCATTTTTTGGTAAAGTTATTAAACAATTTTTAGGTCCTATAAGTGTTATTTTCCTGAAGGCAATAATTTTAATTTCCTTTCTTTCTTCTCCCCAAGCCCCACTCTATTCTGATCTATTTCATTTGTACCAATGAAATCACGGATGTGGTTTTGCTAGGCTAGCATGTTTAAATACAAGTTAAATGACTTGGAATTAAAAGATACGCACGAACATTTTCCCGAGGTAGTTTAAAACTGCATAAACTTCGAGTTCTTTATGGATTTGTGAGATGGTATCATAGTTGCCAACCTATGCTCTGTTTTTATTAGGAAGAGAAAATGTCTTCTCTCTTACCTTCATCTCACACACACACACAAAAGCTCCCTTTCCACACTGCCATTTGCAGCTTACACCCTGCCTTTCCAAAGGCTTTCTAAAAATTGCTGAAGGGGCAGGAGCGATACTCGGGCAAATCCCCTGGGTAATGAATACGGGTGCAGCTGTCCAATGGCGTCCTACCGCTCGCCCGAGATCCCGGGCTGCCTGTAATCGCCGGCTTCTGACGGCCCCGCGTGCCGACGTGACAAAGTCTTGCGCAAATAACCCATCCAATTCTCGGAATCCTGCTTTATTTCCTGATTCCGTGAGCCTAAACCCTTCACAAAAGGGTTCTCCTACATCAGGAAATAATTGAAGCAGTTTTCAAGACACCTTTGAAGTTCATCATATGTGTTCAGCCAGCTCTGACACCCTGCTGTAGCTAAATTGTGAGCAATAATGTGGACTTGCCCCCACTGCATTTTAAATACGGCACGACCTCACTCGTGTGTGGCATCTGATGGACAGAATAGAAAGAGGTGTGGACCCGCGGGACAGACTGACGGCTGTCAGAGGGGACAGGGGAGGGACATCTGGTTGAAAGAAGGTAAAGGGACTGGTTGAAGATCCTGTACGCATAACCCATAGACACAGACCGCAGTGTGGTGGCGGGCACAGGGGAGGGGTGCGGGGGCTGGGAGGAGGGGGACAAAGGGGGGGAAATGGGGGCATCTGTGCTAGTGTCAACAATAAAAATAGTGGGAGAAAATCAAACAAAAAATCAGGAAAAAATCGAATACACCCAAAAACCCTTCCTTACTATGTAGGAGAGCAATAAGTAATTTCAGATAATGAAAAGTATGCTTAAGAAATTTAATAAGAGAAATGGTCTACTTTATCTCCAACAGGCAGGGAATTTGCCGCTTTTCTGAAAGAAAAAAAACACACTTCATTAGTTACATAAATGTGTAATCACTGTGTGGTACACCTGAAGCTAATATAATATTGTATTTAAATGAAAAAAAATTTAAAAGTTACAGTTTGCTGAAAGGGTGACGCTTCAGCTGAGAAGAAAGAGGTGCACACAGATAACCCGAGCAGAGGGGCGGCAGGTGCAAAGGCACAGGAAGCATGTGGGTCGTCAGCAGCGAGGTCCGGAGAGACAGCGTTGGCACATTGACACAGTACGTGGTGGGGAAGCTTAGGAAATAGACTCGTGCTGTGAATCCAGGTAAGGATATGGGTGACTGGGTGAGGGCCGGTGGGAAACACAGGTCTTTGGGGCTGATAAGGCTGAGAAATCGATAAGCCAGGATGTTGGGCAAAGCGTGGTCCTGGGACCTGAAGTCGCTAAGAATGATGACAAGGAAGTGGCTGGGGAGACGGGTCAGAAGTAGCGTCGGCGGTGAAACCAGAGCCCAGGCTTCCCGTCACCTCTCAGAAGAGACACCAGTCGTCTTGCTCCCGTGCTTTAGAACGAAAGAGTTCTTCTCCTGCTGAGATGGGAGGTGGGGATGGGCCCGCGGAACATGAAAACTAGTCCTTGTCTCGCTGTCCCCTCTGTCAAGCATGGAACTCCAGAGGCTACACATTCTTTAAGTATGAAATGAAACGAAAGCACTGGCTTGTGTCTCAATACTGTGTTACCTCTACTTCAAAGCTAAGGACTGGAATATGGTGGGGCACCAGTACCTGTTTGATAAATAAGCGAATCCATGAAAAAAATAAGTAGAAGATTATTACATATCACCATAAAAAATTTCTGAGCAAAATTCCCAGTACTTTGGCAATTCACAGAACAGAGCTCTTCCCCGGTCCGCGTGCCCTGGAGACAGCTTGTGCGGTGCGCAGCGCATGCGCACACCAGGAGCGAGCCCTGCTACTCCCGCCCGCTAGGGCCCAAGGCGAGTTCTTCAACCTCGCGGAGGCTGGAGGATGAGTTTCCTTCTCTCCCGCGCTCCCGGGCGGCGCTCTGTGCCCAGACTCCAGTGTAAGATCAAGAAAAAAGCCTAAAACATTGCCTTCTCACATCTCTGGTTAGGAAGCTGTGTTATAGGTGCCCGTATTTTGAAGATTCGGTTCTTTCAGGATAGTGAATAGGTAGTGACTCCTACACACTTTTTCTGGCTGCAGACTCTGCAGGTGTCATTCATTGACTGGGCGACTTCATGGCCTCAGGAGTATGGTAGGATTGCTGTTCGCCGCCTGCTAAGGCTCGGAGGAGCCACGGGACCAGCTCTACCCAATGCGTTGTGAGTGGAAGTCGGTGTGGGCTGGGCATTGAGTGGCCTCGCAAGGCCCTCGGTCATTCTCGTGCTCCTTCTTCTAGCGGGTGGGAGCAGAAATCAAACGTGGCGCTCGAGGTCCCTGCCCGGGTGTCCTTGCATAAATAACGTGCTCTCTCTCCTCTGACGTAGACCAGACCGTGGACGTGATGGGGTACCTGTCCCTGCTGAGATCACGTCACCTTGTAGTTGAACTTGAAGGAATTCTGCAGGTGTAATTAAGGTCTTTAGTCATCTGACTTTGAGTTACTCAAAATTATTCTGGATGAGCTCGACGTAATGAGGTGGTTCCTTAAAAGGGAAATTCTCCTGCTGGGCTGGGACCTGAGGTCAGGCCCTGGCCAGCAGTCAGCAATCAAAAGGGGACCGCTGTCCCACATCCACAGGAACTGAACCGTGCCAGCTGCCGTGTGACCTGGGGAGGGGACCATGAGTTTTGCAAACACCGCAGGCCCATTAACACCACGCATGCCATCTTGCGATGTCCTGAGCCGAGGGCCCAGCGGGGTCGTGCCCAGGTCCTGACCCACAACAACAATGAGGTAACAAATGTGCCTTCTTTTAGGCCATTGAATGTGTGGTAATTCTTCACACACAGAAAGCAAATATATAAGCAACAACACGATGAGATTGCCCGGGCAGGTTAGTTCCCTCATGTGTAGATAAAAGGTGAGCAAAAACTAAAGTTCTGTTTTCTTCAAGTATTGAGATTTCAGAGCTTTTCCTTCTTTCTTTTTTCCTCCCTTCCCTCCTTCCTCCCTTCTTTCCTCTCTCTTTCATCTACAACCTAAACTAGCCTCTCCTGACTGATACAAATTTGGCACGGGAAGCCAAATGCTATAATAACAGAACAAACATATTTTACATTGCTTTGAGACATTTGCTTGAGTGGTGAGGAAACGCTTATTAGAGACTCAAACGCTATTCGTCCATGTTTTGGGGTGGCAAACACATCATCAGACGTCACATGCGGTCCTGTGCAATGCAGGTAATCTGTCTCTGACCTTGTTCGTTTAGGGAAAGTGTTTGGGAAACAGGATGTCCGTGATTCGCGTTGGTTCCTGCTGGCTGCATTTGGGAAATGCAAAGATGAAGAGGCGGCTGCAGACATAACTGACCAGTGTGTAAACAGGAATGAAAGGGCTTAGGGAAAGCCCAAAATGTGAGGAACTGTAGGATTGGAAAAAGAAATTGCTTCTCAGCCCTGACCTGTAAAAGATAATACGGAGAAATTCCTTGAACAACAAAGGTTGATTAAAACTCAGTCATGCGGGAAGAATGCAATCAAGGGTTTGGCTGTCAAATCCAGTTAACACCTCCTGACAGATTAAGGCGATAGAAGGCATGCCCATTTGATTGGACAAAACGGCTCAAGGCAGAAAGACTCTGCCACTAAACACGAGAGGGTCAGGGACCTGTCGTTACGTCAACAGGGAGTCATATCTACCAGGTCACTCTGGATGGCGCTCATGGCGTCTGGCGCTGGCTGGAACCACACAGATCTTTGCAGCTGACTTCTGGGGAGTTCCACCACCATGGGAACCGTGGGTCTGGGCTAGAAGCATGTCTGATCGCTTGACGCTTACCTCTTGGGTCTCCGACTTTCTACAGG